CTAAAACATACAATTTTAAAAGGGTAAATATAGAGAATCCTAAATACATTTGGGAAAAAAAAAGTAAAATCAAAAGAAACTATCGAGGTTTTGTTTTGTTTTTGTTTTTGTTTTTGGTGGTTCTAAAATCAAAAGGCTTAAAACATTGGTAAATAAACAAGCGAACCTTTTTTCAATGTGTTTTAAAACCCAGCAAAAGTATTCCCAGCAAATATATGGAGAAAAGTAATACGGCTTTAAAAGAATTCCCCTTCATTTTACTCTGAGCATACATAGAAAAATATTGTTTTAATTAAAATGCTTCCTTTGCTAACTCTGCATTTTCAACCCTATAAATATTGAAACAACTCTACTCATCTTAGCCTAGATTTCAAAATAACTTATCAGAGCCCATATCTGTGGTATTAAATTAAATCTATAGCACATGTCAATAATATGCCCGATTACCTCAATCTGTAAAAACAGTGGTAAACTATTTCTTCTTTGTAGTACATAGATAAACTCAATCTCTTGGCTGCATTTAACTGATAAATTCATTGTTGGCAAATGTGTTGACATTCTGAGATACAGAGAGACTAATCCCAATATCTACACTGTCTCTGAAATAGCGGAATCACTGCTCTTTCATGTTAGAGGAAAATCCACCAACATGGATTTTTAAAGTTTTTTTTCCCTAGGAAAAATGAAATTCAGGGAAGTAGTAAGAGATAGACAAGAGTTCCTTTTCCCCTTATACACAAGTTTTGATTGCTGCATCTAAAGATAATTTTCTTGGAAAAGTTTGTAGATCACTATAGGGAAGGCAGTTTATACTCTGCTCAAAGTGCTTACTCATTTTAGTTTAAGAAGACCTAAGGAACTAAAACTACTTATTTCATAACTCTCAGCAAAGTTTGTTCAGGGTAGAGAAGTAGCATTGTGATTAGCATGTGGCCTCTGGAGCCAAAATGTCCAGGTTTAACTACTGGCTCTACATTTATTAGTGAATTACCACAGGAGAAGTTACTGAACTCTCCCGTGACTCAATTTTATCTGTAAAATGGGCAACATAATAGTACCTCCCTCATAATTTTGTTGTGAATATTAAATGATATAGTACCTTTAAAATTATTAGAATTTGCCTGGAGCTTAGTATCTTCTTAATTATCATTAGAGGGGAGTTTTCTCCAACAGTTCTAGATTTTGGAAATTCTTCAGTGGGCTATGTAAATCCTGAACAATACATACAAATTCACATTGGCTTAGTACATAAAATATGAAAGTTGAGCATGTTATCATTTGTCATGTATCATGAGAAACACCATCCTAAATGTAGTCTACAGATTATATGTTTACACTCTGCCCGTAGACATAGAGTGGCTTAGCTTATTCTCAAGAGATGCATACCTTTGCTCCTATTCCTTCACAGGTTAGCCTTGCAAAGGCTAATAGAAATGCTTGAGTTTCCCTATTGCAAAGTTGACATGACCAGAGACTGCCAAGACTAAATGTCAGAAAGCCTTCTGTCTGTGTATCTGTAGGAAGTCTTTGGCCTAACACAGCACTCCTTTTCATCAAAAGAGATATATCTCACTCCATTTGCAAGCCAAAACCAAGGAAAGATTGTGAAGGATGAAGGAGATGTATTTGTTTTTTAACATCCATTTTCCTTATGCTGGTAGTTGCCCTAAGGTGTGTGTACACACACTGACACACACACACACACACACACACTTGCATATTCTGAGAAGTATTTTCTTAATTCACACAATAGCACTCTAAGGAGGCATTGTTAGTCTCGATTACAAATTAAAAAAAATGGAAGATACTTAAGTTATTTAACTCATATACACACCACAGGTGGTAAGTTGATAAAGGTCAGTGATAATGGACGTAAACACTTAAGCCTCTGACTTTTAGATGCTATTGCTCTCATCTCTGACTGCTTTGCCTCTCCATCACATCTTCCCCCTCTCTCCCATTCCTACAAGGGAATCCTGTTGCAAACCATCTGACAAAATGACTCATCAAGATAATTTTCTTTAATGATTTAATGTGTTGTTCCTCCCAAGGATGATGGCATGCTGCAGAGGATAATGTCTGAATTTTAGAGAACAAAATCTAATATACTTTATTTATGTCACAAAAAGAAGATACAAAGCAGAGCAGGAGTTAGAATTCGGGGGCAAAAGATTAGACAGCTGCTTACTTTGGCCAAAAGACAAGTAAGTACTGTTAGTAAACTGCAAAGTATTTCCTAATGTATACTTTTAAAACTGAAAATTAATAGAGCAAAGAGGAATGAAGGATGATTTTAGGTAAAAAATAAAACAATATTTTTGAAGGTGCATGTAACATCGTGTGATTAAACTATAGTAACTGACTGAGCTATAGTAATAGTATAGTATCTATTCGTGAATTTTTGATCAATTATTTCTAGGAATGCACTGCATGTGGTATTATAGATTACATTTAGCTTAGGTACCCCTTGGTTTCTTTCTGCTTTATCTGAAATGGGAACTCAATATTCAAAGACTAAATCAACCATTTTTTCCCACTCTGCAACTAGTTTAGGCAAGTTTAAAAAGTTTTCGTTATTATTTTTACATTATTTAGTTATTGTTGCTTTAAAATAGAAAGAGGGAAAACATAGGTGATTTAAGGTCCTTTCGAATTTTGAAAATAAATTTTTGGATGCAGCGTATGGTCAAGTAAGTTATAATTTGATCATCTTATGGGTGATGGACAATGACTACACCTATTATAAACATCTGTGAATGTGAAAGGAAAGTTCTGCGGGACTGAAGCCTAGAGGGCTTTTTTACATTTCATAAGGAATCACTCCAGTTTTTCTGTTCCTTGGTGAGGATGATCAAGTTTGCTTATCAAATTATTTTTGGGAAGAAGTTCCAGAATTTTGTTTGGGTATTATTGAATCAGTAGCTTATAGTTCTATACGTGTATATTTTGAAGGAAAATTAAATGCCAATTCAAAGATCCTCCTGGCAGCTGCTTCAAGATCAAGCTGCACATCTCTTTCCAAGCCACTGGCTGCCAGAAACTCATTGAAGTGGATGATGAACACAAACTTCGTACTTTTTATGAGAAGTGTATGACCACAGAGGTTGCTGCTGATGCTCTGGGTGAAGAATGGAAGGGTTATGTGGTCCAAATTAGTGGTGGGAATGACAAACAAGGTTTCCCCATGAAGCTTGACCTGTGGTTGTGTCTGCCTGCTACTGAGTAAACGACATTCCTGTTACAGATCAAGGAGAACTGGAGAAAGAAAGAGAAAATCAGTTCATGGTTGCATTGTGGATGCCAATCTGAGCATTCTCAACTTGGTTATTCTAAAAAAGGAGAGAATGATATTCTAGGACTGACCGATACCATGGTGCCTTATCGCCTAGGGTGAAAAAGAGCTAGCAGAATCTGCAGACTTTTTAAAGAAGATGATGTCTGCCAGTATGTTGTAAGAAAGCCCCTAAACAAAGAAGGTAAGAAACCTAGAACCAAAGCACCCAAGATTCAGCATCTTGTTACTCTACATGCCTTGCAGCACAAATGAGGATGTATTGCTCTGAAGAAGCAGCATACTAAGAAACAAAAAAAGTGACAATGAAAATATATTAAGTGTGGTATGAGATAAAATATGTTATACATGACTTTAAATAGGGAAGTAATCCTGAAGAAGACAGATGGTGTTTGAGGTGACCTTTCAAGAGTAGGGTTTTAATAAGGGGGATTTAGAAAGTTGAGAGGGAACAGTCCAGGGAGAGAAAGTGCATACATGAAGACAGGCATGGAGAGAGAAAGAGTTCAAGTGCTTGAGCCACATTTCTCCCCACCTCCCCCAATGGCACTTTGCACTTTGAGGTGGCTGCTAGCTAAAACTTAGGGTTCTGCTTCGTTGAGTGGTAGTGGCGCCTTTCTGGGTATGGAATGTACTTTCCAGAAACAATTATTGTGAAGCGTGGAAAGTCTCATTAATTCAGGATCAGTCACATCTACTGTTTTTCTCTAAACATTTTAACTCAGAATTGATTATAATGCTATATAGTTTTATAGTTTTAGTCAATGTGCTGAGACATATCATCGTTAGCACAATGTTAGACACAAATACTAACCTCTCTAAATGAAATCTCTCTTTCTCTCAATAATTCTTGTTAAGATCCTAAGCTGATCTATTACATCCTAGGATAGAAGGACCTAGGGAGCTTGTTGGGGTTGTTATATTTTCACTAATACCTCTGGGATTATATGGCCATATCATGGGAACTGTAATCTCATGGACCAATACTGGAACTGGGCCACACAGCAGGAGGCAAGCCATATATAGGTGAGCAAGAGTGAGGTTTCATCTGTATTTAGCCACTCTCCATCACTAGCATTACTGCCTGAGCACTGCCTCTTATGAGATCAGCAATAGCATTAGATTCTCATAGGAGTGTAAATCCTACTGTGAACCATGCAAGCAAGGGATCTGCGTTGCAGGCTCCTTATGAGAATCTAATACCTGATGATATGAGGTGGAACAGTTTCATCCACAAATAATCCCTCCCGTCCCCATTCGTGGAAAAGATTGTCTTCTACAAAACCAGTTTCTGCTACCAAAAAGGTTGGGAATCACTGGCCAATAGCTCACAGGGTTGCAAAGAGTCTCAGAGAGTGAGTGCTAAATATATTTACTGTCTGCTCAATCAGAATAGTGGCAAATTAACCAATCTTCTATACCAATGAAGGTTCTCAAATATGAGAACCTTCATTAGAATCATTTGAAAGACTTTAGCTTAAAGAGTGGGATTTTTGACTTAGTAATTCTAGATTGGAGTTAGAAAAAATTCAAATTTCTAGCATATTTCCAAACAAGGCTGATTCTGCTTGTCCAAGGACCACACACTGTCTATATGCTATGATTCAGAGATGGAGCGGATCTTTGATGCAAAATGTATTGACAGAACATGTGCATAGAAGCAGAACCACAAACAGGAATAGACACAAGTAATAGCAGCAGCTTGTCA